ACACCCTCCATCCAGCCCCCCCCCCCCCCCGCCCATCGCTCACCCTAAACCCATGCAGGTTCAACCGGAGTCACTGTAGAAAGTCTTCACTGTAGAACGTCATCACTGTAGAAAGTCTTCACTGTAGAACGTCATCACTGTAGAAAGTCTTCACTGTAGAACGTCATCACTGTAGAAAGTCTTCACTGTAGAACGTCATCACTGTAGAAAGTCTTCACTGTAGAAAGTCTTCACTGTAGAACGTCTTCACTGTAGAAAGTCTTCACTGTAGAACGTCATCACTGTACAGGCATCCGGAACCTGAGACCCACACACACACACACCTTCCATAGGGAACCGTTGGGAATATTCTTCTGTTTCACCGTATCACCGTCACACGGCGGCCACCTGAATGCCCCAAAATGGAGGGGAAGGAGGGTGAAATCGTTCACTCCTGCCACTGTGAACGACACGGCTCACAGTGGACTCCTGCCACTGTGAACGACACGGCTCACGGTGGACTCCTGCCACTGTGAACGACACGGCTCACGGTGGACTCCTGCCACTGTGAACGACACGGCTCACAGTGGACTCCTGCCACTGTGAACGACACGGCTCACGGTGGACTCCTGCCACTGTGAAAGACACGGCTCACAGTGGACTCCTGCCACTGTGAACGACACGGCTCACAGTGGACTCCTGCCACTGTGAACGACACGGCTCACAGTGGACTCCTGCCACTGTGAACGACACGGCTCACAGTGGACTCCTGCCACTGTGAACGACACGGCTCACAGTGGACTCCTGCCACTGTGAACGACACGGCTCACAGTGGACACCTGCCACTGTGAACGACACGGCTCACAGTGGACTCCTGCCACTGTGAACGACACGGCTCACAGTGGACTCCTGCCACTGTGAACGACACGGCTCACAGTGGACTCCTGCCACTGTGAACGACACTTCTCTGAGTAAAAACAACCTTAACTGTCCGGAAACCACTCAAAGCATCTTTAGAACTGCCCAGACGTAAAACTATTCGGCCGGAAACCGCGCACTTTCCCCCTTCCGTCCAAACACACTGTAGCAAGTGCCTCGTCGGATACGTCAAACGATCTCTAACCGATACAACACTTATTTTCTGGCTGAAGTTCAGGATCAGTATCATGTCACTTCTTCTTGCCAGGGGCAACACTCATTCCTCACACGTCAGTTAGAGAGCAGTAAAAACCGTGTGACTCCCAAACTTCACTATCACCGCGCCATTCGACGTCATATCATATTAGCAATGGCGTATTATGGCTTACAGGAGAAACGGATTCCAAGATTTTCACTACGTCGAAGCACAAGGGTGCTTCGACGTGCTTCGGAGTGCTTGGAGGGGTGCTTTTAGGAGTCCTTCCTCACAGGGATGTGAGGACCATCCTCATATTCGCCACCCCCGTCAAGCAGCGTCTGGTAGCACGTGGAAGCACACAATCATTCACTCACGAATTCCACACAGGCAACCCAGGAGCGCCTCCACACACACACACACACACACACACACACACACACACACACACACACACACACACACACACACACACACACACACACACACGCACACACAACCGCCAACCACTGAGGACTCCAGGGTGTTCCAATACACAACATGCCGAATCTCGAAACGCAATCAACCCCTTTACCGTCTCCATCACGTGACTTCTTCCGACCAATCATGGATAGAGTAACACGTGGCAGTCTCTAATTGGCTCGACTATCAGAGATAAAAGACATCAGCCAATCAGTATATACACTAGAGACTCAACGCTAGGCTGAGAGAGAGGCTATAAGAGCTCACTTAAGTGAGAGGTGGACCCACCTGATTGGTTACCTGCACGACCACTTTGTTGGTTGATGTAATCATTCGTTAACGGCGGGACGAGCTTAAGTTGACCCAGTTGTAGTTAGTAAGACCACGAGACAACGAAAACATTTATTTGGACATAGATTCGAGGAACCTAAATAATCACTAATCGCTGAGGAAGACTAGCATTATTAATCACCAATAACTAAGGAAGAGGAACCTAATTAATCACAAAAGCAGACATCCATTCACAAAAGTAAACACTGATTTACAAAAGCAAAAAACACCCATTTACAAAAGCAAAAACACCCATTTACAAAAGCAAAAACACCCATTTACAAAAGCAAAAACACCCATTTACAAAAGCAAAAAACACCCATTTACAAAAGCAAAAAACACCCATTTACAAAAGCAAAAAACACCCATTTACAAAAGCAAAAAACACCCATTTACAAAAGCAAAAACACCCATTTACAAAAGCAAAAAACACCCATTTACAAAAGCAAAAACACCCATTTACAAAAGCAAAAACACCCATTTACAAAAGCCAACAATCCATTCACAAAAACACCATACGTCTCCAGCTGAACACTTTTTTGTTTTGTTACTAAGAAAGTAAGTTTGTCTAACTGGCTGGTATCTAGACGACGATTCTATCCTCGTCACAAGAACATCTCCTCTAGAGAGCATACTGCAACTCAAGGAGCTTGGAGAGGATTTAGTGTTTCTCAGGGACATGAAGGGGGGATTTAATCCTTCCAAGGCTTGAGAAGGAGCTAGCTAGCCTTCCCTCCATCTAGCCTGGAGCGAATTATTATCTATCCCTGTTCATTTCCCTCACCTTGCTACTCCTTTTGAATTTAATGAACTCCATTAACGAAATCCTAGAGAAAAAGTTTCTAATCTTAAGATGATGGAGGGTAAGATTGTCGATCTCGATGCTGATGACATCTTCAGCCTCATTACTAGAAGATTATCACATCTTAAGCTAATCTCCTAATCTCCATCCTTTAGTGATTTCATACAAAGGGAGTACAATGTCTGGCTCAATTCTTTGTTAGAAAGACAAAGAGAGGCATTTCTCTCTCTCTCTCTCTCTCTCCTCTCTCCTCTCTCTCTCTCTCTCTCCTCTCTCCTCTCTCTCTCTCTCCTCTCTCTCTCTCTCTCTCTCTCTCTCTCTCTCTCCTCTCTCTCTCTCTCTCTCTCTCTCTCACAATTTTTTTATTACGAAGCACTGAATAAACTGATAAAATTTCTAGGGAAAACACATCCGAGATTTCATTTCAGATTTCACGAAGAACGCTCGGGGGTCGCAATAAATGCCGATAATTCGGAGAGGTTAGCACCTGGGCCGTGCTTAGGCTATGTGTAATATTCAGTTGCTTGCATCTGTCAACGAGTTCGATGCCAGGATGCCTCTAGTGATGGTCGGGACGCGTGTGAAAAACGATGTGATAGTTTAAAGAGCCTTGTATGTGCACAGTCAGACGAGGGCCTTAAAGGATATATTTTCTGGCCCGTATCTTAAGGTCGATGAAGCTGAAAATCCTCAAGTAGGCATGGAGGATAGTTATAGTAGAGAGAGAGAGAGAGAGAGAGAGAGAGAGAGAGAGAGAGAGAGAGAGAGAGAGCCTGACAGGGACAGAAACACGAACTGAGACACAGACAGAGAAACAGAGAGACACAAGGGAGAGGAAGAGAGAAACAGAAAGAGAGAGAGAGAAAGAAAGGGGTTAAAGAAAGAAAGATGGGGAGAGAGAAAGAAAGAGATGAGGGAATAGGAAAGGGGGGGGGGGGGCAAGAAGCAATGTGATTATATGTTTCTTATTTCCTTGCTTAGTCTATGAATTTTTTTCCATTTTTAGTGGTAATTCCGAGGGCGGCTGATGCCATCTGGAGGCAGAAAATGGCACTCTCAACAGGTCAACAGAAGTCTATAAGGTGAGCTGTAGGATTGGCCGTCGCTTTCCCGCGCTCGCACTTCATTGGTGGAAACTGTGTTGACAGTCGCCATAACAGCCAATAAGAGGACGGGATCTGCCTTCATGTGGTGGCTCCACCCACCTATTGTCATCATCTCGAGTGCTTAACACACCAGTAATACTTCAACCTATCCTCAGGCCAGGCTCGTTAAAGCTGCGGTGCCCTCGTCCAAGTGACGTCCATCAAACTCTACTGATTGTGCAACAATAGCAGGTTTGTTCTCATTTATATATTAATATTATTATATTCTTGAGGTTATCTTGAGATGATTTCGGGGCTTTTTAGTGTCCCCGCGGCCCGGTCCTCGACCAGGCCTCCACCCCCAGGAAGCAGCCCGTGACAGCTGACTAACACCCAGGTACCTATTTTACTGCTAGGTAACAGGAGCATAGGGTGAAAGAAACTCTGCCCAGTGTTTCTCGCCGGCGCCTGGGATCGAACCGAGGACCACAGAATCACAAGTCCAGCTTGCTGTCCGCTCGTCCGACCGTCTCCCCTATTATTACAATTTGGAATATAGTTAGGCATGGGTTAGGTTAGGTGTTTAGGTCTTGTAGGCGATTATTTGTTTTATAAGTACGTGGGTAAAGCACTTACAGCGTTGTGGTTCAAGTAAAGGTTGTAAATATTGGTAAACTGTTTTTCATTCACGAAAAAATGGGATTTGGCGACTGGATTCACGAGCATTTGTCCTCTGTTGATGAGGCCAGGTTGCATAGCTTACATAGCTTCCTGCATCAACTTATATCTATCCTAAAATATGTTGTGTTTGATTACTTATGGACTAATGTAAAAAGAGGGGTACCAGGTGTTTTCTGTGGATACACAGAGAGTATACTCAGGTCCTGTACTATGTTCAGGACTATAGTATACTTCCTCTCTGGTTAGAAAGTAATTGTGGTGGCCACATAAAAAATGCAGTTAGATCCGAGTTGAAACATCGAGGTTAAGATGTATGCCCATTGCATAGCTACTGCTACAAGAGTGCCACCTGCATGGGGAGCACGCACGGCTGCGAGGCAAACAATCTACCGCTGTGACGTCGCTGCATGGAGCAAGGGCTCAGCTGTTACCTCCACCATTGGCTGTCTCAGCTTCATTGTTTGTAGTTTTATGTCGGTGGAGGGATGGGAGCAGCATGGGACGGGGATGGAGACTGAAGATGGATAGTCCTCTTCGTCCTGTGTAGCTAGTATTCCTGCTTTCTCTGTGTTTGTATACTTCTCAGCGTCGTCTGAGTGTCCGTAGTTGTCGTCCGTGGATCGTTCGTCTGAGTGTCCACAGATGTCGTCCGTGGAGCGTTCGTCTGAGTGTCCACAGATGTCGTCCGTGGAACGTTCGTCTGAGTGTCCACAGATGTCGTCCGTGAGCGTTCGTCTGAGTGTCCGTAGTTGTCGTCCGTGGAGCGTTCGTCTGAGTGTCCACAGATGTCGTCCGTGAAGCGTTCGTCTGAGTGTCCGTAGTTGTCGTCCGTGGAGCGTTCGTCTGAGTGTCCGTAGTTGTCGTGCATGGAGCGTTCGTCTGAGTGTCCGTAGTTGTCGTCGTCAGCCGTGGAGACTTCGGTCTGGGTGTCTGCAATCCCGTATTCAGTCACTGGAGCCAGTTCAGGCACAATGCCATCTGCTTCCAGCAACCCGTTCCCTGTTCTCAGAAACAAGTTGTGACCGTGTGTCGCAACAGCGTCCACACAGGCTATGACGACCTGAATAGAGATGTTCTGGACGGATGTCGGCGTCTCTGGTATTGGCGGGTCATGCTGCTAAGGTTAGTTTGGACGTCCAGTCCATACGGTCGTAGTCTGCATGCGGCCTACTGAAGGGAAGCTCGGTAACTGGACAGGTCCAAGGCCTAAGGAACTTTTTGTTGCGAGAAGCTGAATCTAAAACAAGAAGAAGGGGGTGGGAGCAGCCTGGGAGGGGGGTGGGGGTGTGGGAGCAGCCTGGGAGGGGGTGGGGGTGTGGGAGCAGCCTGGGAGGGGGTGGGGTGTGGGAGCAGCCTGGGAGGGGAGTTGGAGAGCCTCTGTTTGGGGTGGAATCATTATGGGAGAGGGGGGAGTGGATGCAACCTGGGAGAGTGGGGGGGGGGTGTGAGGCCCGTCTGGGAGGGGGTTGGGTGGTGGTGGGAGCAGCCTAGGAGGGGGGTAAGAGCAGCCTGAGAGAGGGGTGGGGGGGTGAGAGAGAGCAGCCTGGGAGGGTGTGAGAGCAACCTGGGAGTGAGGTGGGAGGAGCCTACATGTCGCCCACGCGGCTAGCAGGCTACAACTGTTGCATACTCACACCTCATATATCTAGCTAGACCCCCCCCCCCCCTCACTCACCATGCACCAACAGCCTCATTACCCTCTCATAACACCTGCTCACAACTCATTACCCCTCATAACACCCGCTCACACATCATTACCCCTCATAACACCCACTCACACCTAGTAGTTAGATCCACTACCAACCTTTAGTGAATTTAAGTCCTCAGGTTTACTGAATTTAGTTGAGTTTACAGGTTTACTGTTGAGTACAAGGCAGACAGGATATCTTACAAGCTTTCCTGCGTCTGGCACTCGATTCATTTTAATGGCGGCGTTTGTAATGGGGTCAGAGTGCCAATTAAGAGACGTGCACACTAACACACTTAAATGTCTCGTTGGAGTGGTCTCTGTGTACTCCTGTCACTTGAACAGTCCTCACCCTTAAGCCAGTATAACCTCACCTCTCACTCTAATTATAGGCACTCTATCACCCTAATAATCTAACTATCTCAGTCGAATTGGCATATGCGGGACTATGCTAATCTTCTCACCCTAATTATTGCCGCCTCTGAGCCTAATTATTGTAAACTCTCACCACATTTATTCTCATCTCTATCACTAATTACCCCTCACCTCTTTCCTAATTTTCCCCATCTCCTCCTTCCTTAATTGATCTCACTTCCACTCCTGATTATTTTCACCTTCCCTTAATTACTCACACCTCTTAATCCTAATTACCACCCTTACACCCATAACTGAGTGCATATAATAAATTATCCTCTCGTCATTACCTGAGTGCATACTCCACACTCACGCAAGGTATGAACAACATCACACTGACAAGAGTACTCTAATTGTCAGTCTTATCAATTAGTAAGTGCAGATATTCACTCAACCACTTCCCAACAAGTGAGTGCCCTCTAGCACTTGATCTCAACCTTTTCTTAGGAAGGAAAGTGCTAATCAACACTTCCACCCCACGTAGGTAAGTAGGCACGTGGAAGGTAGATTATTAGGACACTTATCTGCCACTTCCTCTCACACTATGGCTGGACCTGCCACTTCCTCTCACACTATGGATGGACCTGTCACTTCCTCTCACACTATGGATGGACCTGTCACTTCCTCTCACACTATGGCTGGACCTGCCACTTCCTCTGACACTATGGATGGACCTGCCACTTCCTCTCACACTATGGATGGACCTGTCACTTCCTCTCACACTATGGATGGACCTGTCACTTCCTCTCACACTATGGATGGACCTGTCACTTCCTCTCACACTATGGATGGACCTGCCACTTTCCCTCACTCTATGGCTGGACCTGCACTCTGTACTGATAAAAATCTTCAACCTCTTGCACTTCAACAATCAGCCCTACAATCTAACAATGTACCCCCCAATACAGCAACAATCAACTCATATTCCTTAACAATCCATCCATCTACTTAAATAACCATTACTCATTCTATCAACCAGCTCTTTGTGCCAGTGGGAGAAAATTTTCAAGAGAAAACTAAATCATATTCTTCAAGGAGTGCCGGACCAACCGGGCTGTGGTGAATATGTGGGCCTGCGGGTCGCTCCAAGCAACAGCCTGGTGGACCAAGCTCTCACAAGTCAAGCCTGGCCCTGGGTCGGGCTTGGGGAGTAGATGAACTCCCTGAATTCCATCAAGCAGGTACAATCCAGGTACTATAACAATCAACTCCTTTACTCTGTCAATCCATCTATTCTAACAATCAATCCCTATACTCTAAGAAACAATCCTTATACTATAACAATCATCCCCATATCGTTAACAATACACCCCTATTCTTAAATATACACCTCTCTACTTTAACAATCAGTCACTAACAATCAACCCCTACATATTAAATACAATCACAATGACTCTCAACACCTTATAGGAAGCATATATATATATATATATATATATATATATATATATTATATATATATATATATATATATATATATATATATATATATATATATATATATATATATATGTCGTACCTAGTAGCCAGAACGCACTTCTCAGCCAACTATGCAAGGCCGATTTGCCTAATAAGCCAAGTTTTACTGAATTTATATAATTTCTCTATTTCTTTTCTTATGAAATGATAAAGCTACCCATTTCATTTTGTATGAGGTCAATTTTTTTTATTGGAGTTAAAATTAACGTAGATATATGACCGAACCGAACCAACCCTACCTAACCTATCTTTATAGGTTAGGTTAGGTTAGGTTAGGTAGCCGAAAAAGTTAGGTTAGGTTAGGTTAGGTAGGTTAGGTAGTCGAAAAAACATTAATTCATGAAAACTTGGCTTATTAGGCAAATCGGGCCTTGCATAGTTGGCTGAGAAGTGCGTTCTGGCTACTAGTACGACATATATATATATATATATATATATATATTATATATATATATATATATATTATATATATATATATATATATATATATATATATATATATATATAAGGTCTATAAAATATATGTAAGGGGTGACCCACCCCACCTTCCCCTCATGTATATAAATAGAGCTCTCCAGGGCCTACTGGACCCATGCTCAGACCAGAGAAAAAAATAGGGGGATGGGGAGAATGGGGGAAATGAGTTTAGTAGATGTGTGTGTGTGTGTACCTAACGAATTAGAAGAGAGAGAGAGAGAGATGGGAGGACAGGGAGAGAAGAGATGCTGCAAGGTGGCATCTCATGTAACATTTCTCTCTCGGTATCCTATTGATTCGTTACCATGACGACCGGAGCTTCTCTTCTCCGTCCCTCCCCCCCCCCCCCTCCCCTTCCCCCTATCCCTCCCTCCCCTTCTCTATCCCTTCCTCCTCCTCCTCCTCCTCCCTCTTCCTCTCCCACATAAACGACCCCCCTCTCTCTCCTTCCCAACCCACTAACATCACGGTATACCCGTCCCAGTCAGTCCCCCTCCTCTCTTTCTCTCTCTCTCTCTCTCTCTCTCTCTCTCTCTCTCTCTCTCTCTCTCTCTCTCTCTCTCTCTCTCTCTCTCTCTCTCTCTCTCTCTCTCTCTCTCTCTCTCTCTCTCTCTCTCTCTCTCTCCTTATCATATCTGACTTTGACGGAAAGCTTTAATCTCGAGTATGCTGTGGCAGGTTGCCCATGGCTGTTGCCTTATCCACGCCTCATACACTATCCTCCCTCATGGCTGTTGCCTTATCCATGCCTCATACACTATCCTCCCTCATGGCTGTTGCCTTATCCATGCCTCATACACTATCCTACTCATGGCTGTTGCCTTATCCATGCCTCATACACTATCCTCCTCATGGCTGTTGCCTTATCCCTGTCCTGCCTCATAACTATGCCTCCACTTCCCAGAGGAACCATTATAAACTCAAATATATTTTTTTCTTGCCTCTCCATGCAGTGCCTACACTGTTATCACTTCTGCTTCTATTATATATCCCTTGCTTTCTCTCTCTCTCTCTCTCTCTCTCTCTCTCTCTCTCTCTCTCTCTCTCTCTCTCTCTCTCTCTCTCTCTCTCTCTCTCTCTCTCTCTCTCTCTTTCTCTCTCATCCATATTTAACTAAATATATAGAAGGGTAGAAATAGCCAAAGCTGCTCTATCATTATGGGATGTTTCTCAGGGGTTTCATTAAACTTATTTGAAATTGAACTTGCACTTGAACCTAATATGTTTAGTTCACGTTGAAGAATGTCTGCTACGGAAAGTATTGAGTAACTTCGCTCGGGTGGAATCGGCCGGCAGTTCGACTCTAGCGATCTAATTACCTTCCTAAAACTCTGTACCACATTAGAAACCCTCCATGATTCAGGTACGAGATTGAACGCTAATTAGAATAAATATGCCAGAGGTTCATAAATTTAATCTTTACGTTCCTTTAGCACCCCTGGCAAATATATTTCGTCCTGACTAGAGAACTTTCTTGGGCTTATGCTATTATATATATATATATATATATATATATATATATATATATATATATATATATATATATATATATATATATATATATATATATATATATATATGTTTAATATCTTGTGGAACTGGTTGTCGGTTCATTGTTGCTGTGAGAGGCAGAGTAACACTCCTGGTGCCCTCGCCTGTGGCTGAAGTTATCATCAATTTCATTGGTGCACAGGTGAACCATTACCTTGTTCCCCTGAAGAGGCGATGGATGGGGGGGGGGGGTGCTGGTGTTCTCTTCACCGTGCTTGTGTGCTCTAATGGATTAGCTGCTGTGATTAGTTGAGTAGGTTCTACTCAACTAATCTACTCTACTACTCCACTCTACTACTTTACTACTCCACTACTTATTCTTTATGATCTTATGTCTTTCATCCAGTGTTCATCCGGACCCCAGTATTTACACTCGGGGGTTCGGAGTTCGGTTGAGACGTCTTCACCGTATATGGCGGCTGCCAGCCTCCCGGGGCAAGATTCACGAAAGAACTTACGCAAACACTTACGAACCTGTACATCTTTTCTCAATCTTTGGCGGCTTTGTTTCCAATTATTAAACAGTTAATGAGCTCCGAAGCACCAGGAGGCTGTTTATAACAATAACAACAGTTGATTGGCAAGTTTTCATGCTTGTAAACTGTTTTAAAAAATGTTACCAAAGCCGTCAAAGATTGAGGAAAGATGTACACGTTCGTAAGTGCTTGCGTAAGTGCTTTCGTGAATCTGGCCCCCGGATGGCAGCAGTAAACCTCTGGCCGACCCAGTGGTGGTTGAATATCGGTTCCTGTAAGTTTAGTAAATGTTGAATTACAGTTTCCAACGCTGGGGGCGGTCTTCTGCTGCCTGTTGCCTCAAACGTTAGCAACTGTTGGTATTGGTACAAGAAAGTTATATCACCTCTTTCTCTCTCTCTCTCTCTGTCTCTCTCTCTCTTACCTCTTTCTCTTTTCTTTTTCTCTCTCTATTCCCCCCTCTTGGCCTCTTTCTCACCTCCCATAACCTATTTTTCTCTTTTATTAGCTAATACCAAGGGCTCTATAGGATTAATATTTCAGCTCACTCAGACACTCTTCTGCCTCATTCCCACCCTGGTCAATTCTTCTCCCTCTCTCTCTTCCTCTT